CAAAAAACAGCTTCACTTTTCCGCGGCCGCCGTCAAAACTCTACTTGACCGATCGGTGGAACATATATCATCTGTCATCTACTTCCAAGGTCTTCTGCCATTGATCCAACTTTTTTTTTTTTTTTGGCCGAATCATACTACCCGTTACATGCACTCTCTTCCCCACCGACCACTGTCCGTGATGCCCAACTCCAAACCCCATCACACACTAAGAAACGGTGTCACATACCCAATCTCCCCCATCCTCTAGACTGTATCCTCTGGGTGTACAGCGAGGAAAGACACATGCTCATCTCCCTAGCAGATTTGCAGAGTTTTTTTTAAACTATCTTACACATACACACACACACACACACACACACATACATATATATACATATATATACATATAAATTTCTTTTTTAAAACCACATCAGCCAGGTGTGCGTGTGCGTGTGTGTGTGTATGTGTGTTTGTGTGTGTGCGCTGAACAGGGGGGTGATGAGGGGGAGGGGGGGAGACAAGATATTCACAAGGGACGCGTACGCACTACATATCATCATATGGATTCATGTAGTGATAACCGTAGGCAGGAGTTGATACCTGCTTGGACCTGTACTAGTAGCGGTACTAACAGTCATACTAGCAGTAATACCATACATGACATGCACGAGTCTACGATTGCCAAGGCACGGCAGCCACAGGAGGTCCCGCTACCGTATGAGGGTATTATATGCAAGTTCCCTTGCCGCACCACGCCGTTCCAGTATTGCGGACCGACATCCACACCGAACGATTGGCCGCGATGTGCGTAGAGGGAGAGGGAGAGAGAGAGAGAGAGAGAGAGAGACGACAGCACCACGGCGCGCGTTTGTCGGTTCTTGTTGCGTCCTCGCTCTCCTTGCGCTGTTATTCGTCTACTGCTTACGTCTTACTGCCATGACCTACTGTATTGGTGACGAAGCTCCCCGTGACGGAAAAAGGATTCCCCGGCCAATCTTGATCAGGGATACAAGTAGCTCGACAGTGCCCATCCCGTACTCTTCTTACGATGAATCACGACTGCTCGTACATGGACAGGTATCGTCACTACGAGCACTACCTGTATAGTGCATCGCTGCACTGGTTGCGAGACCCTGAATTGACACTTCGAGGGGGGGGAGGGGG